AAAGCTCTCACTTTCTAGTTTCCATTTTTTATGAACTCAAAGACTATGCAGGAAGTTGATGGCCAACAGACTAAGCAGCTCTACCAACTTTATTTCAACTCRGATAAARYCTCATCAGTCCTCTTCGCGAGGTACCCTCTACAAAGATGAGCTCTTTGTGGCTTCCGCGGGAGTAGGCGGCCAACAGGCTACATGGATGCCCCTGCCGGTCGAGCCTTCCAAGGCTCCCGTGTGAGCTAGTGACCTAAAGTCAATAGTGCTACCCACGTAGGTCGAGCTCCTAGTAGCTTCTTGTAGGATTGGGTAATCGACGTCACTAACGAGGCTGATGTAGCGTGGCCATAGCTCTAAGGTATCGAGCTGATAAAAGACCTTGGCACCACATAAGACCCAGTTGCCTCTTCACCATGGGCAAAATCAAAGATCAAGGAGAGTGGATTATGAGTCACTCACAGAGCCTAAGGGCTAAAGTGCCGAACTGGCAAAGACTTTGGCACCACATAAGACCCAGTCGCCTCTTCGTCATGGGCAAAATCAAGGGTATGGACAATGGACTACGAGTCACTCCCAGAGCCTAAGAAATTGAATCGACACTTACGAGCTCATCGAATTAGTCTTTTCAGACCAAAAGGAGCAATCTACTCCCTTCGTCGAGTTACTTTCAACTCGGGAGTGGGGGGCAAATGATGAGGGCGGATTTGGCCCTCCAATGATATTGTGACACATGGCACCTCAGAATAAATAGGTGACACCCAGAACCACTTAGGCAACAACATGCCTTAGCCAAGTTGATGGTGTCCCACCTGGCGGCCTAACCCAAGCGCGACCTGGCAACCTGGCCCAGGCGCAAACTGGCGGCTTGGCACAGGCATGAACTGGTGGCCTGGCCCAGGCGCTGAACTGGCGGCCTGGCATAGGCGCCAACCTGGCGGCTTGGCACAGGCGCCGAACTGGCGGCCTGGCACAGGCGCCGAACTGGCGGCCTGGCACAGGCGCCCACCTGGCGACCTGGTACAGGCGCTGAACTGGCGGCCTAGCACAGGCGCCAACCTGGCAACTTGGCGACCTGCGAGACTTCCCACGATCCTTGAAAGTTGGCCCACGTACCGAACGATCCGGAGGGTGGTCAACGTGCATGGCGGTTGCCTCAGGGAATCTCGGACCACTTAGACGACTTCTCGGAAATCTCGGATGTGGTGCATGAAGCCCACGCCAAACTATGCCTATATAAAGGCACCGGCCCCAATGGCATAGGGGGCAAATAAGCATATTCTAGCTCTCATACTTTGTGATTTTTAGCTCGTTGTCTACTCCGAGAGTACTGACTTAAGCATCGGAGCGACCTTACCAGATTAGCCACCCTGGGTCCTCTGACATTGATTCCTTGCAGGTCTCTAAAGAATTATGAAGCTCAACAATCAATTCAGGTCGCCACCAGGCAACTCGACACCTAATAAGCAGCTCGGCACTCTGATCAGCTCGTCACCTAACTTGCCTATCTCAACCCAGTCAGCTCGACACCTAACCTGCCCAACTCGGCCCAGTTAACTCGGCACCTAATCTGCCCCCAGCTCGGCCTAGTCAGCTCGACATCCAGGTCCTCATCCAACAAAAGTTCACTTCGGCCTCTGAGTCACCGACCACTTGGAAGCAAACCAAATGATGAGGTACTTAACACAAAAAATTGATACATCACCAAAAATTGATTCATCACGCACATTTGATTCTTCTCATAGTTTTTTTTTTCTGTTTTTTTGTTTGCTACTCGTGTTAAATCTAGGATTAATACTTAAGACAAAAAAATATTAAAATAAAAATTGAAAAATATCATAAATAGATTAAAGAATGAGGGCACCTCATTACAGTTGTTATATAGTTTCCCCTTATTTTTAAGTATGTTATTAGCTATTTATTTAATCAATTCCAAAATTATTTTCCATTTGTAGGAGATAGAACACAAGGGGAGTCTGAGAAAAGGCTATGGCTCGACAATGATGAGCATTGAGCTACTGATATTTATAGAGAAGTAAGCTATATACACTTGGCAGCCTTTGATTGGTTTGTGCAATTATAGATAGAACAGAGATGATGATAAGTTACAGTTATAGATAGAGTTTACAGAAGTTTATCTTGAGGAGTGAGATAACAAGAGTTTATCTCGATGAGTCAAGACTTATCGTGACCAAAGAGCTTTGTGAGCTGTAGCTGTTATCCTTAACACCCTCCCACAAACTGAAGGGGGGTGCTGCAACCTTCAGTTTGGAGTGCAGTAAGCAGAACCGGGATGAACTGAGAGGCTTCGTAAGAGCATCTGTTGTTTGATCCTTGCTGGATATAAACTGCACCATGATACATTTTTGTTTTACAAGCTCATGTACAAAATGAAAATCTATTTCGATGTGCTTGGTGCGAGCATGGAACACCGGGTTGGCAATGAGATAGGTGGTGCCCAAGTTATCACACCACAGAATAGGTGGTGGGATGAAGGAGAGTCCAAGTTCAGTAAAGAGTGAGCGGAGCAAGACCAACTCAAAGGCACATGTGGCTAAGCACCGATATTCGAATTCGGTGCTAGAACGGGAGACTGTAGATTGCTTGCGGGATGTTCAAGATATGAGGTTATGACCCATGAAAATGCAGAATCCACTTTGAGAGCGTCGGTCATCTAGGCACCCAGCCCAATCTGCATCAGAGAAGGCCTGTAATCGTAGAGTGTCTGATGGAGAGAAGTGGAGACCAAAGGGGAGAGTGCCTTTCAGATAGCGTAAGATCCTCTTGGCGACCATCCAATGTTTCGAGAGAGGATTGTGCAGAAATTGGCATAATTTGCTTACAGCAAAGGCAATGTCAGGCCTTGTGAAGGTAAGATATTGCAAGGCACCCACAATACTACGAAATAACAAAGGATCAAAGATTGGACCACCAGAGGACTTACTGAGCTTGCAAGAAGCAGACATAGGGGTGGATATAAGCTTGGCACCATCCATCTTGGCACGACGTAAGAGATCCATAGTGTATCGCCGTTGGGAGAGAAAAATGCCAGTAGAGTGCCGATGAACTTCCAAACCAAGAAAGTGATGAAGATCACCTAAGTCCTTAACAGCAAAGATGGAGCTCATGGATTGAATGAGAGAGGCGATGGACCCCGTATCAGACCCAGTGACCAATATGTCATCTACATAAATGAGAACCAAGAGGATGTGATTATCCCAATGTTTAATGAAGAGAGAAACATCAGCCTTCGACGCGGAGAAACCATTCTGTAGAAGAAATCCCATGAGTTTGTGATATCAGGCCCGTGAGGCTTGCTTTAGCCCATATAACGATTTTTGTAATTTGCATACATGGGATGGGAAATCAGAGTGAATGAATCCTGGCGGTTGTTTCATGTAGACGGTTTCATGAATGTCCCCGTGTAGAAAAGCATTTTGGATGTCAATTTGACGAATGGGCTACTAACACGAGACAACAAGTGAAAGAACCACTCTAATAGCAGTTGGTTTAATTACTGGGCTGAAAGTCTCCTTGAAATCCACCCCTTCATGTTGATGAAATCCTTTGGCCACTAAGCGGGCTTTATATTTGTCAATAGAACCATCAGGTCGGTATTTGATGTGAAACACCCATTTGCAACCCACTACATTCATCTCGAATTTATAAGGCACAAGGGTCCAAGTGTTATTCCGGAGTAAGGCATCAAATTCGGCTCCCATGGCTTTTCTCGAATTTTCATTCTTATTTGCATCAGAAAAGCAAGTAGGTTCAATGAGGGAGTCAGTAACTGCAACATAAGGTGGCACGTCGATCACGCTCTCGTGGTTCCTAGGTCTATCACTTGGTCTTTACCACCAGATTTCCTTTGTAATGTTATTTCCTCTTATGTATTAAACCACTGAGTTGAATTAATGATTTTGCTAGAAGACATAAAGAAAAAGCTAATATGAACAGATTTGGAAATGGAGCTACAGAAACTTACCCAGGCCAACCTATTCAATAAACAACAGTGTTTTTAACATGTAATCACAATTGATGGTTGGACCATTTAAAAAATAGATCTTGGATCAAAAGCTAAAAATGGGGATTTTAAGAATAAAAAGTGGGGGTTCTTCTGGCAAAATTAGCAAGGCACGGCACTTTGGGACACATACATCTTGAATAGTTATACAAAATAAAAAAAGAAAAAAATCACCCCAATTGGATAATAGGGTACAAAGTTATGGGTATATATATATTTGCTTGTTTATATATTTATATAACCAAATCGGTAATAATATGTAAGTATAACCCATGACCTAGTGACCAAGTCAAATGGATCAATGGTTCAATTTCTAGCTAAATGGGTTTTGACCAATTTAACAAATTTTGGTCAATGTTTAGAAAAACTAAATCCAGAAAAGAAACCAAGTGATAGTTCAAACAGTTCAACTATCTAGATCAATGACAGGTTGAAAACATTACTTTTATCCCAAACCATTCCATTACAAAAAAAAAAAAAAAAATGTTGGCTTGGTCAATGTACTAGCAATCTAGTCAATTGAACCATTGAATTGTTTTACCTTGTTTGCAGGTCATGTGTCATGTATTTTTTTTTTTTGCCTTTTCTTTTTATTCACATTTTTATTCAAAAATCCATACCTATCACACTCATTTTTCGTTTAATATGATGAATATATACTAAATGTTAATCATTTTAACATATTTTATTTTATTTTATTCATGATATCATTGATTGAACCCTTTGTTCCAGTAGAACCACTCTTAATTACTTTTTAAAACACTAATTCCTATTTGGCCCAATGTAAAATCAGAGTGGACATAAAGCAGTATTGCTCAGAGGGTCACGATTTTACTGGTTAACCTATAATTAGCTTATTCAAACCGTGAAAATCATCATTTAACCAGCAGTCAAAAAGGTCGCCACTGGGTCACCGGTTCAACCATCAGGTCTGGTCCAAGTCTTACAAGATAAGGTGAAACCCAAACAATGTGAGAGTGAGACCCCCACGTAATCATTTGAGTAATCTGAATTCTGAAATTTGATGAGTGTTAAAAAAGCTAGGAGTTGTACCTGAGCAGGCCAAACAAAAAGGTAAGGCCAGGTAAAAGAACAAGAATCATGTTTAATTATGGAGAAAGCAATTAAAAATCATTTATCTAATAACCCCATAATGAAAGCAAAAGGGCATTGATTCACCGTTTCCCAGAAAAAGATACAGCATGCATGCACGTACGAGAATTCCACTCAAAGGGTTTGATTGATTACTGAAGCTGCAACCAAAGAGGTAACGAGTTATCCCCGGTGCAACAAATTAATTTGACCGACATATTAAAAATGTCTCCTCCGACCCCTCCTTTCCCTTTTATTAATTCGTTTTCATGCAATGAAATAAAGCTACTTCAAGCGCAAGATTAGGACCAGATACGTTAAAAACCCAATCCACCACAAGTGTTGAGATAGATCCGGCCGGTCCCCTTGTTTCTTGCAAGTGTTGAGATATGTCGCTTTTTGTATTCAAGAATTAATGTAAATGCTGAGTTAATCGTTCTTGATGTATTAGGTCTAATTTAATTTATAGTTAAAATGATACAAAATGAAAATTGAGGTCACTCTGGTAACTGAATACAAAATTATGACCTTCCCCCACGTTTCAATCCATACATTTTTTAGTGTGTAAGTTGTGACCCGGTGAGATTAGACTGAATAGATCAATGACTCAATCGTTTCAATAGATGGATTTCTGAGTCAATATGGGGGTTTTATGAAAGTCGAATATAGAACAGAGACTGGACGACGATTTGGACAGTCTTATGGTCTGAGTCAATATTAATTAATGGGTTGAAAACATTGCTTATAATCGTGCTTAAGGTTTAAACTTATCATGCCTCTTTGATTTTTAATTCAATACATAAGTTTGTTAGGATGGATTCCTAGGTAATGTCATTGACTTTCCATCACTCTTTCGATAAGACACAATGCAATAGGTATCAACACTTTAAAAACTTTGATACCGAAACTAAACATACGAAACGATACGATACGATACAATGCATACGTATCAATAATTTAAACTAAACTTTGATGGAAAGACAAAAGGCCCAAAGTCATTTCTTTCTAAATAAAATGATTTTTTCTTGGTAACATCATTTGACTTTTAATTAAATAAGAGAATGCATGTGTGTTTTACGTATGGCCACTCTCTCTTATTGGTTCTGCTATTCACATGGACGCCCCCAAAGAACATCTCAACCATGTAATGTAGTGGGAACATCTTTAAAATAAGTACAARTACGGGAGATGTTCCAAATGTACGCTCAGATGACCGTGTGAATTAAAAGAAAGGGCACTATGTTATATTCCATAAACAACATGAAAACTTAATTTCGGGTTCTGATTATATCCACAGTGAGAGTAAAGGTTTCCTACCGTCTCCTAGGCACAGCCCTCTTTTCTTTTGGCCACGTGGAAGGTGACATATGGCTGATTCAAACTGTTAATTAGACAAGCAATTATAGAACTAAAATTGGCTATATAGGCCTTTTAAAGTTGCTGCACAGCTTGATTATAACATTGTGGCCTAATTATAAGGTCATTTAATTCATATAATCAATAAATTAAATAGTGATCTCTCTCTCTCTCTTATTATTATTGTTAGCCTCCTCATATCATATCCTCTTGGTAGTTGAATGCACATCATTGGAGGCAAACCAATAAGTTTGATGATTAATTGATCCTGTTAATTAATACTTGCTGCTTAACAGAAAATTATAAGCTGGCCATGTGAACTATAAATCATTGACTAGATAGCTATAAATCAATGCCAGGTTATTATTATTAGGTACCATGTGCACAAGCATTAATGAGAATGGCATTTAGAGCTAGCTAGGTTGTTGTTGAATGTTGATGTACGTACCAGGGAGTAATCTTCCCTCCATGCTTTGCTTTAGTTATGTTTGTAATTGTACTTCTTGCTTAATTAAATATAAAGGGGCTTGACAATTAGCACTTCCTCTTTCTTTGTTTAATTTAAGTCAATGATCAGCATCATTGCTAGCTTTCAATGTCCATTTAGGCAATTTCTATTGCATTATAGAGGTCGCATTCAACCCTGCAATCTATTCAATCTTGGAAAAACAAAAGAATTGGTCAAACAAATGCATTAGAATCATTGCTTCATTTAGATTTCCTAAGTCGTAGTCACCTAATTTCAATTGAGCTTGATCCAAAATCCACATCCAGTGGAAAATCAAAATCCACATTCCAGATTATTCTAATTCCCAATCTTATTCCTGTCTGAACCAAACAAAAACTATGGGAATAGATCAATATTTCAATTCCCATTGCGAAGGATTTCGATTTTGATTTCACCAAACAGACCCTTAATCTTTGGGACTAGCTAGCCAAAGTTATTTGAAGAGAAATGATATTTTGTTATATCTTTAGCAGATCAAGGCAGAGTAATGTTCAAGGTAGTCTTGATCTGTGAAATGCTTTTCTAAATTTTCTTTTATGTTGCTTGTGGAGATCAAGGTGTGATGTTTGTTGACCTACATGCCAACACAACATCTACCATAAACAATTATAGGAACTGAAAGTTATTTGTCTGTGAGACAGCATAGGATGGGGGAACCCTAAATTGGAATACTGTTGACCCTAGAGAGTTTATTAGATGGCAAGTGGATTAATGCTCAAATTAATATATTAACACAAATATACGACCCACTGAATTTAGGCTGGAAAGCCTAAGATAGATTTGGGTATGCTGTTGTCTCTTCCTTCTTTCAATGTACCAAGTAATGAGCCATATATTGAACCAATTGGATTACAGACCACTCAATCAAAGTACTTAAGAGCATGCACAGAAACATTTTAGGTTTCTGATTAGCAAATTAAGTAATTGGATTTTGAGATACTCATTAGGCTGTATTTGGTTGCAGTGCAATTTTATTTGCACCAGTACAAATGCTTGGGAGTACAAATGAAAATAATGCAAATTCGGGTTTAATTTTGTTTTGGAAATTGTGAAATAAAAATAACTCATAATTTATATTGAAATCATTTGCATTATCATCACTTTGCATCAGTACAAATAAATTTGCATTGCAACAAGCACATCATCCTCTAAGGTTCCACGCTTACTGCCTTGAGTCAAAGTGCATTGGAAAAGTTGATAAATTAGGCATTAAGATTAGAACCAAAAGAATTTCATTAAGTCAACTGGTTCACATGGGTAGAGATTAAGGTAATCCAGCCAACTAAATTCAACTAACCTATTATAAC